ATCATAAAGTTCATGATGCCACTTTCCGTTTTAAACTTCGGAATAAAGTGTGTTTCATGAACATCCGTTTTTGGTTCCTCCTTCTTCTGCTTTGGTTTGGTATTGGTCTTTGGTGGTTTGGTTGGGGCTGGTTGTTGATCAGCCGAGCTGGGTGCCGTGTTTGGGTTTTTTCGGCGTTGTTTGGTATGTCGACGTAATCGGCTCCGGCGTTGGTTTTGCAACCGGAGCCGTTTTCCTGGCATCTTTTGTCTCCCACTCTATCTTTATCAGGATCAATGCAGCTTCACTGAAGCTTTCTTTTTCAGTCATTGTGCTGCCTTCGTTGTCTTAATTTTGGGGCATTCGGGTGAGTTCGAAGCGTGGCCGCCCTTGCAGTTCGTGCATTTAATTGGAATGTCGTCCCTGCAGTCGACTACCACATTGGGCGCACACAGTCTTTCCCTCGCAGTACTTGACTGTGTGTCACAGCTTCTGGCAGGAGAGGTGGGTCCGTCTGTTGAGGCACACGATCTTGAGGGCCACAGGCACTGTACCTTTACCGAAGGTCAGGGCAACGCTTCCCTGATTCTTCCCCTAGGCCACTCTAAATCGGTACACCTCAGTTGACTGGTACCCCCTCTCTATAAGGTCTTACGGAATTTTCTCCCCGGTATATTCGGCCGGTATCCCAAGAACAACCACCTTGTCTGTTGTTGACAAGGTGATCGGTCCAGACACCCTTACAGTTATACCAAGCTGTTTTGGGCCAGTGCCCGATCCATGTCAGACCTACTTTTTAGGGCAAGTCTAAGATCCTTAGTAAACAGCAAATTAAATATAAAAATAAAAGGATAAATAACTAAATATTAAGACTTAAACTAAATCAAGAATAGAAGACTAAATAGACAACCTACACGCTAAGCATAACAGAAAAACAGAAAGAAATGTAAAAAATTAAAGAGAAAATAAATAAAAACTTATATCTTATAAAGGTATAAAAATAAAAAAATAAAAGACAACCTTAAATTTACTTAGGACTAGAAGATCTTTGTAGAGTCTTACAATCTTTCTGTGTCTGAGAGGTATTTTAGAATCTCGAGTCTTGGCTAGGCTACTTTATCTATGATAAACTCAGCAAAAGCTTTTGATTTAACGCCACACAGGTCTGGCGTTTTCTTTGCCTGTACTTCTGCTATCTATTATTTAATTGGTCAAATATTACTGAATTAAATGATTGGTTACTAAGCCTAATCACGTAATCATAAGTTATCTAGACCATATAATTTATCTTTAACCCTAGACCCCATTTTCTGTTATTCTCATAATATTTCATAAACAATGTAATTTTCGTTTTCAAATAAACTCAGACCAAAGTTAATATTTTCACAATGGAGAAGACAGACAGAACATATGTATTTATCAAATTATAAATCATGTCCTCTGGTGCACTTATATTCATTCGCCTAATGTATAACTTCGCATAACTTACTAAATAGTAATACAAAGTTCATCGGGATTCTCCGGCATGGGGAGCCACGCTGGTTAAAGTCTGTGTAAGTCGCTGGCTCGCTGGCCTGGAGGTCGCGTGTTCGGTCCCTGCATTGGCTGAGAAAGTTCATATTTTTCGATATGGTTTCCCCTTGTTGTCAGTGGGGCAGGACGGGGGGCCTGACAAGGACATCTGTATAGTCGTTCGGGTGGGACGAGAAAATCGAGGTCCCGCGTACCCATTGGTCTGCACGTAAAATATCCCTTGAAATTCAATACAAGAGTAGACCTTAGCGCCAGTGTCCGGGCAAAATTGGTCACATAACCCACTGTATGGCATACTGTATGGCGTATGCCCGTCCTCATTAGCCCAGTCGGAGCAGAACAGTAGGGGGTTAATTCCCATTTCATTTCCGACCTGCACAACTGACAAACGGAAGCCAGGCCAGAAAATCCCAAACAACTTTGAGACCGCCAAACCAGGTATCACCCGGGCACTATATATCATACATGGCATGCAGCATAAATTGGATATCACACAACTTAATGTATTTAATAAAGAAAATGGATAAGCATATTATCTAACCTGCTGACTAAAGAGTGTGTTCTGTTTGTTTAAAACTACTACTATATTCCGGTAGATTTACAACAACTGCTAGAATGACACGTGTATATAACACTAGTGAATATTGTTTATTACGCACTGTTGGTTTTGATATCATACAGATTAACCGCGTCTATGCATACAGCGTGCTCGACATCATAATAAGAAGGCATACCTTATACATTATAAATCTCGGAATAGCATATACATGTACGTACTATTTAGGGCGAGGTCACACAATTATGAGGTCAAGTAACGGTCAGGATTATGTGTCCTATTTGTTGACCCCTCTTTTTGCGGGTTCATTGATTTATGTAACAGTTCAACATCCACATTTCTTGATCACTAGTACTGCACTTCAACTTGGGGTTTTTATCCCTTCAATAGCATTTAAGAGTGATATGTAGTTATTTTTTAGGTAATTTTCGTAATTTATTACAACAATTTCCTTTCAAACAAACCATTGCACCGTTTGTCATTCAATAAAATGCACTGATAGAAAAAATCATGTGTTTGTTTGGGGGTTTTTTCCTCTCACATCGTGACGTCGCGATATTCTCGCCCTTTGAATGACGCGAAATCGCCCCAAAAAATAGAAGATCAATAATTGAAGTGGCAAAGCCAGATACGCCCCAATCGAAATATGTCGCCTTGAAAACTATTACTGATTTTGCCATATCTTTGGGGAGTTTTACAATGTCCCTAGGGGTAATTGACCGGATGCTGAATGCATGATCTGTTTCTGCTGAAGGTAGTAATTGGGAACACCTGCCACCGGTGGGGCAAACATATTCTTAAGTGTCAGAAGAGACCCGTTCCACTGTAGTCGGAATACCTGGTTATGTTCAGGCTTTATGTACAGTCCCATTTAAAGAGAGCTTTTTCTTTAGACGTCTTCCCTAGCTCTCCTCTCCCCGTCTGCTTCATCCTTTCTTTCTTCTTCTACCCCACCCTCCCTTCTGTCTATTCTAGTCCCTTCCTCCTCACAACGGTAACTGGGTCAGATATTACGTGACGGCATTATGATGTCACAGTATCATGATACAGTTCAGTGTTGAAACTTGGGAAACTGGCGATGGGTATCGTTTAGCGACGCGTTTACTTTCACAACGACTTGATGGCCAATGGGTGTACAGACGCCACAATTAAAGCACACGTTGACAGAGTCGTCGATTGTCGTGATGTGGAGGACCGTCGTCTACACCATGAGAATTGGACTTGTATTCGGGCATGGCAAACTACAGGAAGAACTCTTTTTTCAGGATAAGTTGGCCGATGGAAAGGGCATATCAAGTTGACATTGATACGGCCATAAATAACGAAATTATGCCACAATATATTAAATAGATAATTACATAAATATTTCGCCTATGCATTTCTTTTTTGACGGAAAGTAGGATGTTAAAGTCCATTTCATTTCATTTCAATTTCTTTTCTGACAAGAGTATATTTAAACAAACGCTTAGTGTTCAACCACAAGGTACACTATCTCTAGATTCCACGCAATCAGATTCATTTTTGTGTTAAATTGCTGTGCATAAATATGTCCCTGTGTTTATGTATCATGTCTGAAGACCTACTCGGAAGACCTACTTCTTACATCAATTTTATGAAATCGTCCATAGGATTCTGTACATCTATTGTGCTTACTATATTAATCAGGTTACCTTATAAGCAAACTGTTTCCTTTCTCAATTATTTTTTTTATTTTCACATGCTCGTTTAGCGTATTATTACATGAATTACAATTCATGTTTCTGTCTTGAAAGAAAATGAAATGAGATGGGGTTGAACATCCCACTGTTCTGCTACGACTGGGCTAATTAAGACGGGGATACGCTATACAATGCGGGAAATTTTGCCCGGGCAATGGCGCTAAAGCCTACATTTATATTGAATTCCAACTGTCACGGGGTCTTTTACGTGCACGTCAATGGGTGCACTGGACCTAGGTTTTCGTCTCATCCGAACGACTAGACAACTGTCCTTGTCAGGCTCCCCATCCTGCACCAATTCCAAGGGGAAACTACGTCGGAAAATCCCGATGAACTTTCTTGGCCAATGCAGGGATCAAACAAACGACCTCCAGGCTGCGAACCAGCGTCTTATCCATTTAGTCTATCTTGAAGATCTGTAGTACTATATAAAACAACCCCGAATACAAAAACAGAAACTTGTTCATTTATCCGCTTCTATTCAATACATGAGTTTCTCAATATTCTTTGAGAAACTATACGGGAAAACTGCCCATAGACATAGACAGAACCAACAATACAGGTACAAACCACGCTTGAAAAACAAGCAAATCAAAACTGTTCTTATTTCAATTACAAATACAAGATGTACACAACGCTGAAATGGTTGATTTGGTTTGTAAATATCTATCAAAGTTTAACATATAAACATACTGCCGAAGTGCTGTTTCTGGGGATTGTAACTTATTCCAACACTAACGACGAAAACTCAGATAAATAGTTAAAATTGTACTTTTAATAAACGAGTGTCCAAAACTGGCTAACGGTCACAATAACGAGATAGGTATCGCTAGGGCGAGTCGGTCACCAGACTAAAGTTACAGTAGAATATAGAACATATATACAAGCTTAGGAAAAAAATAATTATATAATATTTGATCAGAGATATTAAATTGTACATAGGAAACAGATGTTTAAATACAGAAGAAGATATCGACATAGCAAGAACGCGTGTTAATTATAACTACGTAATATATATCGTTACATTAAGTATAAACCCAAACAGTTAAAAGACTTGAAAGATTAGCGAGATATCAATTCGGACATTGGTCAATTGCTATTTTGACTAAAATTAAATAGTAATAAAATATATAGAAAGACACACTATAGCAATACATTCAAAAATGAAAATGAAATGAAATGGAGTTTAACGTCCTACTGTTCAATACATTCAAAGATAACAAAACTATGATTTTTAAAATTAGTTAAAAAAAATAAAATAATATTTTGCATCACATATACTGTATTTATTTAAGATTTCTCTTTCTTCATGGTTTCTATTTTCTTTACAACGATATTTTTCAATTCTGCTCTAGAAACCTGGTGATAAAAAAAATAATATTAAACATTATAGTATGTTCATATAGATATTAATATTGATAAATTAGTTAGAGCTTATCGGTTATTTTAACTTGAATGGTATAAAATCTATAAACGATGTAACCCACCTTATTTCTAATACCTACAACAGGAAATGATTCCATAATAAAATAATAATTTGGTACATCTCTACTGTATAGCTATAAAACATAATATTAAACGATTAGTCCAGTCCACTTATAAAGTAATAATCTGGCACATCTCTACTGTATAGCTATAAAACATAACATTACAAGATTAGTCCAGTCGATATATACATGGATATTTTTACCTTCAAGACTACATTCAGTCGTGGATTTTTTCCCCTTCAAGGTCAGGGCACAACAGCGATAATTTTTCAGCCACACATAGACAAGTCATGGTTTGGGGAGGTTGGAAAAGTTGGGACTTTTATGAAACATTTTCTATTTATTTTCCTAGAACACTAAAAGTTTATCCTATAAGATTGTATTCTGTCATGCTTTTACTAAAGGAGTTCCACAAGATATTGGACACATAAAGTATTTCCTATCAACAAAATTTGCTCGGAGACAATCGTCACCCAAATATTATATAAGTCTAAATATAACTTCCACTAATCAGTCAGTATAATTTACCGCCTACTCTTCGTCGTCCAACTATCAAGAGTTCTTTTACGTGCATATCAACCGCTCGGACATGAGGTTTCCTAGTTAGGGAGTTGGTGCCTTATCGGTATTGGGGATAATAATGTATTCAACCGTACGGTATTCCAAGATAAATCGTCGGTGATCAATACTAGCTGATTACTAATCGCTAGTCGAATGGCTGTAGGTGCTTCGGCTGTACCCGCACCTATAAAATGTTGACTATAAAGTGATTTGTGAGGACTATTTACTGGGCGGGTGACATTCATAAATAACAGACAGAAATCGCTTCTTTCCGAATATAATTGCAGTTAAATGAGCTTTTAATCGTACTAATTCTTTAATATTTTGATAATAAAGAAAATGAAATGAAATGAATTGGGGTTTAACCCAATCTTGGGCGAGATATCAAATTTGTTTGATTTTTTAATATGATGTTTAAAATGTCACGAAATTGAAGTTTTGGTAGTTTAAAATCGGTTAAATTTTAAAAATCTGTTAATTTTGGTCATTTCAAAGGCTGTCCCAAAAATGGGACGCTGCCCACAAGAGGGTACATGTTTTAATAAAAATATAAACAATGCAGTGGAAATTATAATGACGGTTTAACAAAGAAACAACTAGTTTTTATTTAGATCAGGTAATTTATTTCATTTCTAATTATATTTGTATAAAATATCAAACGTTAAATAATGTAAAATCCCATGTAGGCTAAAGTCCCATTTTGCTGTATATTTTACTAAATCGCTTTAACCGGCGTTAAAAAATTACAGGTGACGGAAAATTCTTCTGGTTTATTCAGACATATTCTCCTACTTATTTATTCTGGGGGTTGAATAAAAATATCGGCACCATTTTAGGTCTTCCTCATCATCCAATATCTGATCCAAGGTTTCATTTATACGGAAGCGTATACGGGTCATGCAAAATTTTGTAGAAGGCCTCGAGATCCTGCGATCCTGTGATACTTTCTCGAGATCTCAATTTAATGTTCTCGAAATCCCCTAATAAATTTCTCGAGAATCTCCCATCCTGCGTTAACGATCTCGAGAATTGGAGTTAATGTTCTCGGGATCTTGCCATCCTGTGTTAATTTTCTCGAGATCTCGGGTAATTTCATGTGTGTGCGTAGTTTTAACGTATTCTCAGCGCCCCACAACCTGTTGTTTACCCCCCCCCCCCACCCACACACACACACACGTACACACACTTTCCCGAAAACCTTAATAGCTCGGAAAAGCCTACAGTTTTTAACGGTTTTGTTTCAAATTTTGTGTTTTAACGGATTTTCGATATTCAGTGTTTCGCGACAAGGATGACCCCTGTTCATTTTCAGCAATATAAGATTTCTGTCCCAGAGAGATAACAAGCAGGCGAACACGATAGAGATTAGATTTCTTGATGAATGCTAGATCCTTATACAATTTATTAAACAACCAAGTTTTCCTTTCGAATAATCTGCTGTTGATGCATAGATGCTGCGTGGGTGTATCTCCACACTTTGCGTGACTATCGTTCAAATTTCTTTTGAATCATTAGTGTCACAAGCAGAGGAACCCTATTTATTTTCGGCGGAACAATGAACCTTATTGATTTGCAGCGCTCCCTGAAGTTTTGTTATGGCGTTATTCCTATTTTCCGGTAAACCTTGTGAACGCGTTAGAGCCCAGAGTTTTTCAAGATTTTTTATTTAAAATCTGCTCCGAAGCATTTGTGCCACAAGACAATAAACTCTTTGTCTAGCTTTATTCTAAAACAAAATATGGTCCGAAAACCATGCAGAATATAACATTTTCAATTAAACGTCACCCACACATTAAATTGAAAAAATTTAACAAGCAAGTCTGTAATTCAAAGCTTTACACATTAAAGATACACAGGATGTCAGTACCGGTATCTCAGGAAAATTATCAGGGGATTTCGAGAACTGAGATCTCGAGAAAATTACCAGGTGATCACGGGATTTCGAGAAAGTATCACAGGATCGCAGGATCTCGAGACCTTCTACAAAATTGTGCATGACCCCTATACGCTTCCGCACATTTACACTCAGTAACCTATAAAAATTCATGTAAATTATACAAAACACTATCTGTGCTGTAAAATTGAAAAATTTCACTATTCGGAACTTAGCATGTACAAAATGGCAAATGTGAAAAACATGCCCTTTAATGGGCAGCGTCCCAAAAATGGGACGGAGTTTTTTCAGCTCACTAAAAGTAATCTATTTTGATTATTCTTGCACAAAGTCATATTTGAGAATCTAGAACACATAACCTTTTATATGATCGTAAAATTTTCCCGAAATATATACTGTAAAAGGATTACTGACCTTTGACCTTTTTGACTTTCGCATTTTGCAGGCTGTGTCATTACGGACGCCATCTTGGAAAGGGAGGTAACTCCATGTGACTTTTTTTCTAGTCAATGTCAATTAGGCTCTTTATGTATTATACTAATACTGTTACTTTAATAATATCTTGATTTTCTTTGTTTTAATTTTGATTTGTAGGGTCGTCCCAAAAAAGGGACGCTGCCCTTGAATGGGTTCGTCCTACGGCTCTGCTCGGCTAATGAACACGGGCATACGCTATACAGTGTACTACAAAGGAAATTTTGCCGGAACGGCTGAGCCACGGCCTACTCTTATATTGAATTTCGACAGCTGTCATTGTCAGACCCCCCTTCCTGCACCACTGACAAGGAGAAACCAAGCCGGAATATCCCAATACTTAGCCGCCGTGTCTACCTTAATATTAAAGGACAATATTGGTGCCTGTCATTATCACATATGTGATAGAGCTGGTTAAACACATTCCAAATATAATTTTATGTCAGAGATCATTGCTACGATAGCTGAGTAATACAGTTTTTCTAAATCGGAAGTGACGAACGCCAAAGGAAAACACGAGTCGCCTCTCTATATAACGGACTGATGTGACGAATGATAACGGATATACGGGCAATTTCTGCTCACTAATAATTCCTTTGAAGACCAAAAGTTGTTGTGTGAGACTGTGAGAGGATACCTGACAATTCATAAAAAGAATTGACTGTCACTAGATAACTGATAAGTGAACACGAAAGAAAAACAGAAAAAGTCCGTGCATTACCATGTTTTCATAAGGTATAGAATGAATATAAACAAGGAAATGTATGGACTATTTCTATTTTTCTCGTGTTCTCTTATCTACATTCAATTACTTTATTGAATCGTCAGGTATCCTCTTACAGTCCCATATAACAACTTTAGGTCTCCGAAGGAATTTTTAGTGAGCAGAAATTCGCCCGTATATCCGTTATCATTCGTCACATCAGTCAGTTATATAGAGAGGCGACTCGTGTTTTCCTTTGGCGTTCGTCACTTCCTATACAGAAAAACTGTATTACTCAGCTACCGTAGCAATGATCTCTGAGATAAAATTATATTTGGAATGTGTTTAACCAGCTCTATCACATATGTGATAATGACTGGCACCAACATTGTCCTTTAAAGAATAAGTACAATTAAAAATTTAGAAATTCTTACAGTTCATCTCGCTTTAAACAATTAAAAACTTTTATTTTGGTAGCCTGTCAATTCAGAAATTAAACTAGTGTTTTCGAACACCGTATTTGAGATATATAAAGGTTTGTAAGGTTCAGTAAATTTATACATGCCCATATTATATTATGTTTCAACTCCATGCAAAGACTGGGTGTGGTTGAGTTTATAAATCAATAACATTATTGATACTTCAAGTTGGTATATATGAGGGTCACGGTGGCTAAGTGGGTCAGACGCTGGCTCGCTAGCCTGGAGGTCGGATGTTCGATCCCTGCATTGGCCGAGAAAGTTTATCCAGATATTCCGGCGTGGTTCCCCTTTGTTGTCAGGGGTGCAGGACAGAGGGCCTGACAAGGACAGATGTCTAGTTGTTCGGATGGGACGAAAACGAAACACCAAGGTGTACACGTACGCATTGGCCTGCACGTAAAAGATCTCTTGACAATTGGAATTCGATATAAGAGTAGACTGTAGTGCCGCTGCCCGGGCACAATTTCCCTCATAGCACACTGTATGGCGTATGCTCGTCTTCATTAGCCCAGTTCGGAGCAGAACAGTAGGATGTTAAACCCCATTTCATTTCATTTCATTTAAGTTAATATAAAAGAGTTACTGTAAAGTACCTTTTTTTTACAAAATGTTTCTAGACCTTCCTCATCCAACGAATCACCATCTTTCAAACTGAAAAAATAATATGTACGATAGTCTACGTGTTAAAACAAGGATATAGAACAAATTCTAACTATAGGATAACAGTAAATTCTATATATTGTTCTAAAGAACTAATCATATCATGTTATTTTCTGAATGCATCAGGTATTTGTTGATATTTTCAATCAATAAATTTTACTTACACCACACACAGACAAATATCATCTCCTTTAATATCATGTGGTACACCCACTACCTATAATAACAATATCATGTGTTACACCCGCTACCTATAATAACAATATCATGTGGTGCACCCAGTACCTATAATAACAATATCATGTGTTACACCCGCTACCTATAATAACAATATCATGTGGTACACCCACTACCTATAATAACAATATCATGTGATACACCCGCTACCTATAATAACAATATCATGTGTTACACCCACTACCTATAATAACAATATCATGTGGTACACCCACCACCAATAACAATGGTGTCATGTGGTACACCTACTATCTACAATAAAAATAATATCGCGTGGCACAACCACTACCTTTAACAATGATATCATGTGGTACACCCAACTACCTATAACAATAACATCATGTGGTACACCCACTACCTATAACAATAATATCACATGGTACACTTACTACCTATAACAAAAATATCACGTGGTACACATGCTATCTATAATATTAATAACAATAATAGTATCATGTGTTACACCCACTACCTATAACAATAATATCACGTGGTACACCCATTTGGGGGTTGGATGGTTGAATGGTTAGCACGCGCGCGTTGTATCATACGATCTGTCATTGAGTCAACTGGCGGGGTTTCGATTCCCCGGTTGTACGTGAAATAAAATTGAGCCATGTGTTAGTCCCGAAATGACCTAGTTCGTGTCGAGTGGACGTTAAACCCCATTTCTCTCTCTCGGTACACCAGGGGCGTGCTGGCAGGGAGTTTAGGAGGACGGTGTCCTCCCAGGCCCCCATTAAACAATAAGTCCACCCGTATAAGCGGGCCCCCCTGAGAGCTCTAATTTTCACGCGGAATTTTCAAACCATGCACCAAATAATGAAAAAAGTAAAACGATATGGATAACATTCATAAAGAATACACGTGGTTCTAATATTCTTAAAAAATACATGTACTTTAAATAAAGTATTGCAAACTCAATATATAGATAGGCCCACGGGGGAGTTGGGTTTAACGTCCATTTATTATAATTAACATTTCTATTCAATTAATTCTCATAGGCGCAGGGCTCTTTTGAATTGTGGGAATCCGGAGCAGGGGCGTGCTGGCAGGGAGTTTAGGAGGACGGTGTCCTCCCAGGCCCCCATTAAACAATAAGTCCACCCGTATAAGCGGGCCCCCTGAGAGCTCTAATTTTCACGCGGAATCCCCTCAAAAAATTGAGAGTGCGCACGCGAAAAATCATACTTACACAACGATTAGTAACCAGACCCCCCTACCAGCCCGGGCCCCTTCGGGGCCATCACGCCCCTGCGGTACACCCACTACCTATAATAATGATATAATGTAGTACATCCACTACCTATAACAATAATATCATGTGGTACACCCACTATCTATAATAACAACATACTAATAGTAATAACAACATCATATCACAACAGGTTATCGCAAGATATAGCTTATAGTTATTCGGGAGGGACATGTTGTTGTACACATAAATGACCCATTTGCAGTAAACGACGCTGTTCGGGCAATATTTCCCGCATAGCACGTACTCATTGGAGATGAAAAGTGTGATATTGAACCCCATTTCATTTCATTTCAAATATCAATATAAATACTTAGAATAAACTGTCCATGTTGACATTCATATTCACAATTGGACGAGCTGTGTCCAAAAATAAAATAATAATAAATTACCACGGCATCTTTTACTTTAGGATGTGTCTTGACAGTATTTTCTATTTCACCTGGATAGACTACGTCACCTTTATTTTTATATCGTATACAGTCTGACTTCCTTCCTATGTACGTTACGTGACCCGTTTCATCCATTTTGCCCAAATCTCTGTAAATATAAAACTATATGAAGCTCTCAAATGTTGCATGTGTATGTAAAAGAGTTGACCTGGGACGGATCACTCCTCCTTTCCTTTAAGAACAAAGGTGAGTTCATCATCCGTCCCTGAGATGCTAAACCTTTTTTAAAAAGGACTAGACCGGCTACATGTTACTCCTCTTGGCCATCTATTCAAACACAATCCCCCTTGTTACGTGCGTCATTAAACATAAGACTAGTCAGTCATCTACCCACTGACTTCACTGTTAAAGCCTCGAATTCCCTTCCGCTTCAAAAACATGAATATTTAATAAGACCTGGGCACTCCTTTATGAATGTAGATGAAAATGTTAGCAGAAACTATAACGCTGAGGTGATGGTGGGGGTGGGGTTGGGGGCTATAATTGGCCAAACTGCAGGGATAATAATTACTAATGAAAGATAGTTTCATTGAAGATGAAATGCTTTCGTGATGGCATTAATTCACAATTAATAACATTAGACCCTTATCTTAGTTCCACAGATCTCCTAAATATAGCCAGCTATGTACGACAAGAAAGCGTTTGGCTTGTGGAACTCTTGTGGTAAAAAGCACCACGGTGGGGGGGGGGGTTGTATCACACAGGGAGATACGGGGTCCTGAGAAGACATTTGGGAAATAATTGAATTTTTTTCTTTGTCCAATATCTTGTGGAACTCGTGTGGTAAAAACAAACACCACATACTCTAAATATTGATGAGATTTATTTAGTCGAACTTTTGTCATTCTGTCTATGTCCAATATCTTGTGGAACCCTTGTGGTGACAAATTCCACACAAAGGTCACCTACCCTTACCATAAATGTCACTTTCAGTTTTGTGAAAACTTAAAAATATTTAAATATTTACCCCATGTGGACCCATCCGGCCTTATCACAAACGGTAACAACTTTTCCGTTATCCATTAAATAACCATTTGCCACCGACCATCCTTTTAAACAGATTTCACCTACGGTATTTATGGGTACTATAGAGCTATCATCCCCTATCAGTTTTAGCTAAAATAAAACAGAATGTAAATATTCGCGGGTACATTAGTAATTAAATGGATGTGAACTTTACCAGAAGTGGGGACGGATAGTACATCGTAAAATGAATCTAGCATAAGTCTAGATACATTTTTAACAATGAACGTATTGATATTAAAGTAGAATATTTTACCTCTATATGAGCAAAGGGATACCCAACGGTTTCTATGAATTGTTGTTTAGTTGAATAGATCGGAGAAGTTTGAGTTCCACCTAAACATTCGGTACCACCGTATACTATCTAAAGAAATAAATACACTTATTAGTTATAGATTTGCCATGAAATTATGTAACCTACAATATTAGATATTTTTATTTTGACGGTGCATTCTCAATCAATCGGCTTCTAGCAAAATCAGATACAATGACTCCCCAGTCCCCACCCCAAGAAGAAAGCTAACTTTAATGAGTATTATGTTTATCCGATATTGCAAAATCACAACACAAATTAACTCGTCAAATGAGACGTGGTATCAGATTTTCTAGTGAGGTAGCTGTAATAAGCAACGGTTAATGGTTGATAATGAACATACTGTATAATCTGGCTTGTTTTTCGCAAACCATTGTCTGAATTCTTTACTGATGATCTGGGCTACTAAAATACCTTAAATTACAAAACGAAGAACGGTAAAAAGATATACACAAGATAACCATAAACTATACATAAATTTTACACATAGTGGCGTTACATGCATATACTGTTCTTCAATTTACAAATCCCCGAAGGCTTTATTTAAAGAGAGATGGGGTTTAAAACCAATTCAACCCAAACTATGGCATTTCGGGACTACACCCCATTTCTGATTACCTTGAAATTAGTTTCATCTTTCTTAAAACTTCATATTTCTATATACTTTTACCTGAGTGTAGAATCTTGCATATATATATAAATTTTGTTTTTGGGCAGATGTTTTTGAAAAGGACAATTTCAGAAAAACCCTTACCGGATTTCCACGAAGAAACATCATAGTCACTTGAAGCTGGGTGACCTATCAGTGGGGTGACGAAATACGGGAATCCTTGAAGTGTTTCAATTCTGAAAGTATAATCAGGAGATATTAACAAAATTCACGATGTCAGTATTCCCCAAAACATAAAACCGTGGATAATTATTTAACTTCAGAATCTTTTAAACGAAACGTGGATTTTGCCTTTTGGCTGAAAATGCTGTGCTTAGAACTATTAGTGAAATGGTAAGACATAATCGCCACCCGTTCATCATACGTGATCGATATACTTCCGCCGTAACAGCCACGCCTTCAAGGGGAATAACCCTATTCAACTTTACCAAAGGCAGCTAACTCTGTTCCCCCAAATTGTTAAAGGAACGGATATACTACTACTCGCGAAACGGCAACAAATGGGAAACAGGTTTGTAAACTTGAAAGTACAGAACTAGGAACAGTCGTGTGTGAGTTTTATTCCCTATTGACAAAATAATCGCAATTATATTTTGTTGGTATTATATCTCACGATTAAAAAAGACTAGTCATTTAAAAACCACTTACTTTTCATCTTGTATAAATTTTAATAATGATAGTGGATCTGTTAAACTGGTGGACGGCATGACCACACCCACAACACCATGTCTCCAGTTACATATGGGAGTTAGACTATCCAGTAGTAATGTAATGTCGTCAAGTTGTCTACAGCAAAATGCGAAGACCACCCTCTGTAGGATTAAAAGAACCTATGTTGATCCACTATATCACGATGTCTTCTACTTAAAGTGTTGGCTCAAAAACTGTCGTATTGATGTCATAGCCAAAACAAATCCCACTTAAAGTTTAACAGTCGAATTGATGTCGTAGCCAAAATAAACCCCAAATGAGATTGGCCAAAGACATGGTGTACTACAGAAAATCGTTATTATCCATGTGGTAGAAATGGTTAAACAAATACCAAATATAGTTTTAACATAGTGATCGTTGTTGCATTGGTCCATAACGAAGATTTGAAGATTTGGGAAGTGATGCAAATGCAAGTCAACGGGTAGAATGTAAGTAGAATCAAACTAGGTAATGCCCGGACTTTTCTACTTTTCTCCCGTTTTTAAGATCCCATAACAGTCAATTATTTTATAAATAGATTGTTTCGAACAGCTAGCCTCTCCCAACCTCATGTAACAATTCTTCGTCTTCAAATCAATTATCAGTGAGCTGAAAGTCTTCTTTAGTCAGTAACAATAACTGTTTGCCTTTATTTGCATCACTTCCTGATTCTTCAAATCTCTGTTACGCATCAGCCGTAGAAAAGATCTCTATGTTAAACCAATGTCCTTTAAACTGTTTAGATCACAATACATATTATCTAGTAATACGACAGCGTGGTATTGCTGAGGAACAAACGTTTATAGAAAGACAGCAAGATAACGCACCCGACCCATATTCACCGACCCCTCACCGCAGTAATATCTGCAAAATATCCCAGAATTTTCGACCGAGAGTATTTAATTCCTTACACTTCTTAATCTACAAAGCTTACCTTTCTGTTTGGATTTTTCCTGTTCTCCCCAAATATTGCTGAATTGATCAATGTCCGATGACTTAACAAAACGACTTTGAATTTTCCTGTTGTTCCCTAAATACAAATAAATAAATGACGTGGCGGTATCAGGGAACCAGACTATTTTACATGGTTTAGCGTGTCAAAAAGAAACTATCTTGAAACTGGTTATTAAAATTCAACTAAAACTTTGGACGCGTGCTATAGGAGGAGTATGCATACACTGTCTGTTGCATCGAATCAGCCACTGGTTTTGATCTTATCGACTCGTGAACTAATCTGTGGGTAGCACATGCTCTGAAAATGTATAATGTATTTGTTTGAACGGGTTAATTTATTTTACTTACTGAAGTACACCGAATCTATTTGTTTCCTTGGCTATAAAGAATAGATTCTTTTTTTACTTACTGAAGTGCACTGTAAATATGCGGTGTCCGTATATACTACACATCTTGCTGCCGATGCCAATTGGTCTCCTGTTTTCAAGACGTCTCCAGAGTTTAAAAACTGTTCATACGTATAAAGTTCATCACTGAAAAACAATAATTACATTACAGTTACGAAAATCTTGTTTTCTAGCTGATTGTTTAAATGTTGTTACTTTTAGAATACATACATTATACTGGATGTGATGCTTGGGAAGTCTCAATCTCCCAAACAGAGTTGTCTTCCCTTGCAGTCCAAACTATCTCTGCTAACGGCTCATTTGACTACGCCACCAAGATTCTTGGTGTTGATGGACAATGATCAACAATACGATGTAAAGCAAATAAATGATAATATATTTAATACTATTACCATATTTAAATAGAAATGGGGTCACAATTGCAAAGTAACAATGTATTTACAAATATTACAGGGAAATCTTTCGCGTAAAATTACAGGGTTAAGTGGTCGGAAATACGAACTGCGCATGCTGGATAGCGAGACTTGTGTGGAGAGTGGGGAAGTCTAATAGCCCTAACCCGCTCTTCCCAAACTTCCCCGTTAGACTCCCAAAAGTGTGCACTACTTCCAGTACATGTTGCATTTACGGAGTCAAGAGATCGGACCTAGCCGTAGACAAATCCAGTCTCTGTACTGAATTTTTAACTGGACGGGTCTATACTACTGCAACCATTCTGGCTATTCAATATAATTATCCAACTATTTGTCAATATTCCTTATTAACTGGTTTGTAATTATGTTGTATAATTCGTTTTCAGTTTTCTTCTGACGGAAAATAAATGTTCGATAATTTGTAACCCTTTTAAATTATGTTTAACCACACAAAAGAAAAGAAATAAAATCATATATATAAAGCTACAAAACCAGAAACAAAAACATAAAGACAACGACAAATCAAATCAAATGACGTTTAACGTCCCACTTTCTGCACCAAGCAGGTTAATGAAGACGGGCATACAGCATGGAATTTGCCCGGGCAACAGCTTTTCGGCCTTCGTTTCAGTGCGTTCCAACTGCCATTGGTTCTTTACGTGAAGGCCAACGTGAACACAGGACCGCTGACTATTACTAGGATCAAACAGGGACCTCATGGTTAGTCACGGCCTTATTTGGTGAGTTTGTAGGCAGCGAAACAGAATTTAGACACTAGTAAGTCATCTAATAATGTGAAATAATTTGGGGACCAGCTATAAGAAGTAAATTATTTTTAATACCACAGTAATTATGTACTCACCTATTTAATTGCGGTTCAGTTATCTTTTCTGGTGTGTAATGGATTGTTTTAAATTTGATATCAGAGGAGCTGAAAGTGAAGAAGAAAAATGAAATGGTCGATTTCGTTGAATAATATTTATGTTGATTTCTAAAACCAGTAATGAGAAATAACAGATTTTCTGTTCAACTGTCGACAAAACAAGTTAAATATTAAAAAATCAGTAAACAAGCCGTCTTCTGCCCAATCAATTTTTTTTTACCTAGACCCCAGCAGGTTTAGCTCCTTTAATTCGCATCAAAAGAAATTTAAATCTTTGTCGTCTTGTCCTTATGTATCAAATCTTAGCCATGGTCAGCAAAGAAACTGCATGAATTTTAGGTTCGACGTCAGCTATTTAGAAAAAAGTGCTTGTCAGTTCGTAAGACAAATCTTAAGGTTCGTTCTATTTTTTAGGATTTACCCCAAGTCCAAACGTGGGACCAAACAATCTGTAAGCTATAGAACACATTTTACCGTCCACATAAAAAGATTTGTGCTATAGATATAAAACTTCAAGATAAATCCATTAATATAGAACCCATAAATAAAGACTATTGGAAACTGATCAGCAAGGATAATAATCACCTTGTAGTATAATCGCGGATACAACCTGTTAGGAATGCGACTTCATAACCAATTATTATAATACTTGGTCGTACCTATAATAAAACAACAAATAATTTTTTAAAAATATAACAATCTTTAATTTCAAAAAAAATAAAAACAGTTTTTAATTTTTCAAAAATATACTATTCAAAAAAAAGTAGGGGATATTTGATTTTTAAGTGTTATTAAAGTCACCTAATGAAACTGACGAAGAAACAAATGACAAAATGAAATGAAGTTCACATTCATCGATTTATTCCAAATGATCGTTAGACTAAGTAAGGCACAGACTGACCATTATAAGGGTAAAATGATACCCGGGGTCAAACAGCAAAGTTACCACAGCATCACAACCAAGTCAGTAACGGGTAAATCCTCCTCTGTTTGCCAAACAAGCATTGATCCGACGTGGCATACTCCTAATGAGACGTCTAAGGTCATTTTGGTCCAGATTGTCCCATTCCTGTTGCAACGCAGCAGCAAGTTCTTGGACATTGGCAGGACGTTGTTGACGTTGACGTAACCTCTGTCCAAGCATGTCCCAGACATGCTCGATGGGGGAGAGGTCGGGACTCAGTGCTGGCCAAGGTAATGTGGTGATGTTCTGTTGTTGGAGGTAACCTGTAACGATCCTGGCCCTGTGACATCTTGCGTTGTCATCCTGGAAGATGAAACGGCGGCCATGACGTCGTGCGAACGGCACAACATGGACTGCCAAGATGTTGTCCCGGTAGTACTGGCCTGTAACACGCCCTGCAACAACATGTAAAGCCGTTCTTCCAGCAACAGTGATGCCTCCCCACACCATAACAGAACCACCCCCAAATCGATCATGTCTGATGACGTTAACGTCTTGGAAGCGCTCGTTTCGACGACGCCACACCCTCCTACGTCTGTCCAAAAAATCAACAGTGAACCTTGACTCATCTGAAAACATCACATTGCTCCAGCGTCGATTATCCCAGTGTTGACGATCCCAACACCAACGACGTCTTGCCTGAATGTGATGATCTCTCAAACAAGGGATCACGCGAGGACGTCGGGCGCGAAGGTGGACCCTATGCAGTCGATTCCGAATCGTCTGGCCACTCACTCTCACACCAGTGTCTGTTTGAAGACGAGCGCTGATCTGATTTGCTGTGATGACACGATTTCTCAAGGCCAAGGTACGGATAAATCGATCCTGGGCTTGAGTTGTCGCCCTTGGTCGACCTGTGCGTGGTCTGTCCTGTACAGATTGTGTATCACGGTATCTGGACCATAGCCTGCTTATGACAGACTGAGAAACATTCATCGTCCGCGCCACAACCGCCTGTGTTGTGCCGATCTGTAGCATGCCAAGGGCACGTAACCTTTCATTTTGGGTAAGCCGACGCATATCAAAATTTGTTTTCTGGTCACTAAAACAATTAAACTGATGTTTCCACCCTGGAATTCAATGCCACAATGACTGTAACATTCAAAGTCAGAGTCGTGCAAATCTTGGGTTGGACACCCATGATGATCCCAAGCATCACCTGCATTCCATGCGGTAGCTATTGGTGCGTTTGGGCGTCACATGTAACTGGAAATGTTTCTTCTGTTAGGTTCTATAGTGACTTTTTTCGTAGTCATTTGCATATTTTAGTATTATGCCCCCAAAATCAAATATCCCCTACTTTTTTTGAATAGTATATAAACAATTTTTAAATTTTTATTATTATTATTATTATAAACATTTTCTTTTAAATATAAACAAATTTTTTTTATAATATAAGCAATTTCTTAAAAATATAAACAATTTTTTAAAAATATAAACAATTTCTTAAAAATATAACCTTTTTTTTTCAATAAAAAAAAATAATAATATAAACAAATTTTAATTTAAAAATAATATATATAAACAAGTTTTAATTTTAAAAAAATATATAAATAATTTAAAATTTTAAAAAAAAATATAAACAATGTTTAATTTTTCAAAAAATATAAACAATTTTTGATTTTTAAACATAGTCATAAGGTCTGTCATTGGGTGAAGTGGCGTGGTACCGATTCTCCGTTTGTACGTGGGTTTTCCCCCCAGTCCTCTGGTTTCATTCCACTGCTAAAGATCTCTACACGCAAGCATATTATTGAAATAAAATTGAACCATATGTTAGTCCGAATGGTGGATGGCCGAATGGTTAGCAGGTGCGTGCTGTTTCATAAGGTATGTCATTGGGTCAACTGGCATGTTTCGAATCCCCAGTTGTTAGTGACAAGGAGAATGGTCGCCTGTCCAACCTCCTGGGTTTTCTCCGGGTCCTCCGTTGACCTCCAACTGCTAAATACCCCTACGCGCAAGCGAATTATTGAAATAAAATTGAATAATGTGTTAGTCCCGAAATGACCTAGTTTGTGTCGAGTGGACGTTAAACCCCATCACTCTCTCTGCATAGACTATTTCAAACACAGACTGAAGGTCAATTTTTCCTCTAATACAACGAATGATAAGGTAAGATCTCCTTATGAGATTTGAAACTGTATACAGATCATTATAAAAAGCATTGATTGTTACAAAATTGAAAAGTTCCATACCAAGTTGATCAATTCAATGGTGTTTTTCTCTGGTGGTTCAAATAAAAATGGCTGAAATATAGAAATATTGACGAGTGAAGCATAAGCATTCTAGAATTGCCCAGCCACTAGAAATGAAACATTCAATGGGTAGCAAAATAAAGAGCATCGATACCTGTCACATTTTATTTAATGGCAGATTCAGTGGACAGTGAAACAAGAATATTTAATTTTCTGATGTAAAGAATGATGGATTTTGTAGACAAGCCACAGGAAGCTAAAAAAACGACATATGGACAGGCGGTGGAGGGTCTAAGTTTTGCGGGTCCTATACCCTACAGTCCAGTCAATGAGAATTTGCTGCTAAATCCAGATTCTACCTCAAATATTACCTGGACTATAGATAATACATTCACTGTCTATTAATCCCCTATTAACCTAGGGGACCACGGTGGTTAAGTGGGTAAGTGCATTGACCGAGAAAGTTCATCGGGATTTTCCGACGCGGTTTCCCATTGTCAGCGGTGCAGGACAGGGGGCCTGCCAAGGCCAGCTGTCTAGTCGTTTGGGTGGGACGGAAAACCTATATCCCGTGTACACACTGGCGTGCACGTAAAATATCCCTTGGCAGTTGGATTCAATATAAGAGTAGTTCATAGTGCCGCTGTCCGAGCAAAATTCATCTCATAGCACATTGTAAGGCGCATGTCCGTTCTCGTTAACCCAGTTTAGGAACAGAACAATAAGGCGTTAAACCCCATTTTATTTCATTTCGTTTCTATTAAATTATTCTACCTGGAATTTCACCAACTTGTATAGTACAATGGTTATGTACCCTGTTAATTTCTCTATTCTATGTAGTAATTATAATAAAGAGAGAGAGAGAGAGAGAGAGAGAGAGAGATGGGGTTGAACGTCCACTCGACACAAACTGGGTCATTTCGGGACTAACATATGGTTTAATTTTATTTCAATAATTCGCTTGCGCATAGGTGTCTTTAGCAGTGGGAGGAAACCGGAGGACCCGGAGAAAATCCACGAGGTTGGACAGACGACCCTACTCCTTGTCACGTACAACCGAGTAATTATAATAAAACTAACTTTTTAAAACATGAGGATTAAAGTCTTGTCAGGGCGCGTTCGCAATTAGGGATCTTGAAGTGTGGATCCGCACCTTTTGACAGACATTCACATTTGGTTAAATTCTTCCCAAGCAAAATGTTTACAAAATATAATTGTGTGTTACTTATTTGTTATATATAATTCTTACAGAGAAGAACTGTGCCCCAATACCAACAGTACCATGGAACATGACAAAATAATCACAAGTAGAAACACCAAGTACCATAACGACATCTCCTTGACTAACACCATGATGCAATAATGATCTGGAAAATCGTTCACTCTAAAACATAAAAAGTTTAAGCAAGTACCACTGAATTAAAACTAACTTCCTTGGCAACGTTTCTGACAAACTATTATAATATTTTTCTTCCTAGCAACATTACTAACAAACTATTATAACACTTTCTTAGCAATATATCTGATAAACTATTAAAGATACATTATGGATGATTAGATAAAGAGCTGGTAGTTTTCACTATAATAGTAAAAAACTAGATAATGTAAAGGGAATTTGATGAAAATTTCAATCAAATTGATCCACCCTGAACCGAGTATTTAGCGATTGAATTTTGGGCCTAGCCTCAATCATTATTATTGCAGGGGATACGATAAAAAAAAACATAGTCTCGATTATCCATTTTTTATTTTATCAGAAGCATCAGGCCGGGTTCTAATCCAGTAAATATCACTGTCTCTAGCGATGCCATCGAGGGTTGATTATGGTCTGGATAAGTTAATTAATGTCTAAAGAAAGACCTGCAATTGGCAGATTTAGCTCTTGCATAATATATGTTTAACATTGATTTTTGGGATTTTAACACTTTGCATCGTCTATGCTGTGTTCATGTAGGAGAGGGGTAATATAGACGATATCTGTTTCGCAATCCCTTTCAATTTTTGAATAAAATATTGTTCCGTGAAGCACATGCTGATACAGCATACAGAATACTGATACAGAAGGAGCCTCAGACGAGTTATTTACCCCTGAATTTGATTATCTCGCTTATACATGATTATGAAAGTAGTAGTCTTTAGGCATAATATTAGCCTCGATCAGCTTGATGTAATTTTCTATGTTATACGCTCAAGTGCCACGAAGCGACGAAAAAAAAGTATAACCATCCGAGCCAAAATGGATCCCAGTCCAAACTGCAACACGAACCACGAAATATTATATAGCTTAATTAATGTTTTGCCATTTCTGTGAGAATGTGGTTGGCCCACCCACGATGGTATTGGTGACCTAGGTTCGATTCCGGTGTTGGCCGACAAGTTTCTTGGGATTTTCCAGTCTGCGTCCTTGGGTGTCATGGAAAAGCAAAGTGAGTTCAGATGATACGAAAATTGAATCTCCGTGCAGCACCTTCAAAAGATAGGTCGTAGCGCCGCTGTTGGGGCACAATATTGCCATTTTATGCCCATGGCTGTTTTATTAGACCGGTCGGTACAGAAACGTAAGACGCTAAACCCCATTTTATTTTAATTGTACCTTTGTAATTGAGGGGGGGTGTAAAATGGGGTGGAACGTCGACTCCATAGAAATTATGTCATTTTGGAACTAACATGTGAGAAACCCCATGAGGTTAGGCAGCCGTCCATAATCGTGTTACCTGTTCCAATAATGCTTTCAATGTAATTGAATCTTTATATTCAGGTATACGGTAAATAATATGTTCTGGTTTTCCATTAGCTGCTTCAACTAGACATTGTTTTATTGTTTTGGTTGATATTGGTGTATCAGTTTTACCATAGTAATAACTCTGATTTAATGGTGTTTTGGATGGAACACAGTCACTGAAATATAGAAAAGTGTTTTTCTACTAAATGAAATCAAATGAAATGGGGTTTAACGCCTTACGTTTATGCACCAAAGGAACTAATGAGGACTGGCGTCGTAGGAGGGAACTTATTGACAATTCCAATTGTTAAAAATTATTTTACATGGACGCCAAGGGACTCGGTTTTTTGCAGGCCCTGAAGTACGGACAAAATGAGAAACTATGCAGGGAAATCCAGAGGAAGTATCTCGGCTAACACCTTCTGGTTAGCGATACAGCATCTTACTCACTGAACCTTAGCTTCATTGGTATCAATATAGTTGGTTGTAAAGGTCATGTCCGGGGGTTGGAATGGCCTAGTGGTCTGTAGTGTCGTGCTGCTAGCTCTAGCTGACTGTGGCTTGGAGATAGGGGCACCTTCTCAAACCCTGGGTTTACTCCGGGTACTCCGGTTTCCTATGCGCTAAGATAGTAAAAATGAGACAACTTATCTGCGATATCACCAAGATATCACCAACAGCAGGGTTATGTCCACATCGTTAACCGTGTGTTCATGGCCAAATAATACCTGTTGTTCCCCGCCATTCGAAGAGAGCGGGCGTGGTTAAATGTTATGTCACTCATTTTGAAAGACAATAACTCGGCTTCTAGTTGAGATAGAATGTTCGTGTAGATGATGTTCATTGCGTGATTAATACTTTTACCTGATATCTGACTCTGTCATTGTTCTGGATACAAGATACCAAAATACAATGTGTTTCCTCGATGATCTCTTTCACGCTGAATATAAATCATAGTTATAACATTATGTAGTTTTGGTGACTCTCCGGGGTAAAATGGTCCATATCTTTGGGGCTACGGTATTGGCCAAATCTCCTTATGATGTCTCGATTTGGCATATTATTACAAACTGAATTTGTTAGAGAATTTATTTACTCTTGATATCATTTTAGTTATGAAAGCGTTTTGCCGAAAAGTTTTTATCAAACCCAATGTCACGGGATATCGCTCAAAGAAAATAGGGTTTAAAGTTCTACTGTTTTGCATCAACAAACTAATGAAGCAGGGGATGCGTTATGATGTAAGCTGTGGGGAAAATTTGCCAGGATGGCACTATTTTCCTATTCATAGAATTCCAACTGTCAAGGCTTTTTACACGGTTTTCCGACTCAGTGGGTTTTCTTTCGTACCAGGCCTTCCGTCCTGCGCCACTGACAATAGAACTTTGAACTTTGATATGGAGAGAGCGATGAGAGGGAGGGAGAGAGAGAGAGAGAGAGAGAGAGAGAGGGACACAAACGAGAGAACGCAAACTAGGTCATTACAATAACTAGCTTGAAAATCCTGGAGGTCGGACATTCGATCCTACCCCATGTCACGAACAAGTTGGGAATCGAAACCATGTCACTTGACTCAATGACAGACCTTATGATCAAACACTTACACCTTAAACCATTCGGCCACCCACTAGCTCCCTACTTTGTTGTGGAGAGTTATATAAGCCTTACATTACAACATATGATAACATATTAATCCAATATATATAACATACTCTTACCTGCTGACAAAGAATGTATTCGGTTTGTTTAAAACTACAATATATTTTGAATCTGGGTCTCCAACCGGTATGTCTATATCGATCGGTTTTGTTTAAAACCACTTATATTTTGAATCTGGGTTTCCAACGTTCAACCCTCAGATAGTATTCGAGATGTCAATATAAAGGACATTTTATACCAGTGCAGGTATATATATGTTGGTTTTGATAACATAGATAAAACGTTAGCTGGTTTACTCTATACGTGTACTAGTATAAGATGACCTTTATATTGACATCTCGAATACTATTTGAGGGTTGAAAGTCCGATAGTACATACATACTATGTAAGAATATTTTGACCTTGACTAATAATTGTTTTAGATTCATAGTAAAGCAAAATAAGGCATGAAGCAACAGCAATCTACCTGAATTAAACTAAATACATTTGTCACATGCCATCTTCGTTTTTTGGTCAGGAATGCAATGTGTCTGTTGACCACATTTAGGTGTGGTCACTATAAAAGGGAGTGGGGACATAGGCGTAGGAGCAATGAAAAATTCGACGACCTTTTCTATTAACGTTTAGGGAAAAAATATAACTAACTTATTTCTATGAGATCCACACTGCCCGAAAAGTATTTTCTCGTCTTTTTCTTGTCCACTGAATGCCCGAAAATATGCCCGAAGCTCTCTTATGATATGTATGCCCGAAAAAACGGTATTGATTTCGGGCAATTTTCTCTTATGCCCCCCCTGAATTACTTTGAGCTCCTACGCCTATGAGTGGGGATAGCATTCGGCAGAACTCACATCGCCTGTCACATCAGCCATATAATATTTCGAAAACCAGGACGATTTGTGACTAAAGCTAAGAGTTTTTATACAATAAAAAACACATAGAAAAAGAACCTGAACTGTAGTTATGGTTTTAGTCACGAAACTGAAGGCAACGCGAAGCCTAAAGATCGAATAGTACGACAAAAGATGCTGAACGTCATTAGCATTTATCGGACAATATTTAATTTTTGACGGCTTAATCCATGTTATATTTTACTCAAATTCATTATCCTACATTTAATTAAGTAATAAAAGAGGACCATCAAAAGAAAATGAAATGGGATGAAATTTAACGTCCTACTGTTCTTCTCCGAATGGCAGGGGCTAAGTGAGAGGAATGCAATGACGAACTTTGCGTCATGGTTTTTAATTTTCGCGGCCCCTTGGTTTTTGTGCCCCCTAACAAATGGCAAAAAAAACACGCGGTTTCAATGCGGATTTCAACATTATAATCATAATAATAATGCTCAACCAGTGTCAAACATATACTGTAGGTCAGATATGCTACAAATCGACTCTAGCATGTTCCACACAGTGCAATATTTGAATACCTGGCGGCACCGCCCCCCCCCCCCCCCCGACACGCACACACATATAAATATTGTTTTTGGATTTGGAGGCCCGGACGGGATCTTGTTCCTCACGCAAAATCGTGGGTTACCACGCCCAATATTCAATAGCCCAGTCGGAGCAGAACAGTGGAACGTTAAACCTCATTTCATTTTTGTCTATATAATGGTGCACGTACAGGACTGAATGGTTTTAAACTGACATTCCTCCATTTATATATATTCAAATTTTACAATATTGCAGTTTGCAAAGAATTCGAAATGACGATCAGTTGATTTCAGTAAGCTATGGTAAATGGGGCCATAGAAGGCTTACATAAATAATAATGAACCGACAAATAGGTCGTGGTTGTGAAAAAAATAACGTTACGAGTCTACGAGATGTCCTATTTAATGACCCCTGTGGACTATATATTCATGAGGGCTACCCTAGTGATACACGTAATCAAAAAAAAAAATAATGTTAAATCTTGTTGCCATTTTGAGTAGGTACAAAACAAAACCAGTGGCTGCCAGGCAGGATGCGCCCACATTTTGCAAGAGATGGATAGTGAACAATCTAAAAACAAACGGGATTTTTTTATAATCAGGGGCAATAATCGAGAAAGTAGAAAGTTATGGTCTGAAATGCGCACATATCAAAAGGGACTGAGATCTCGGGATATAAAGATATGTTTTAAGTTTCATCAAAATCTGATAAAAATCGTGACCTCTAGAGGGTCCACAACCTTCGTATTGCATACCTTTACACAATTTAAAATCGGGAAAAAATGCGATTTTTCGAACAATCAGGAGCCATAATTCAGGAAATTACGTTCGCATATGCGCGATTATCAAAAAAACAAACAAGATCTTAGTGTGTAATGGAGATATATATATTAACATATTGTTTTTTTTTTTTAAATCGGATAAAAAATGTGACCTCTAGATGGATCGCAAGCTAAAAACGTGATTTTCTGCACAATCAAGGGTCATAATTCAGGAAGTTACGATCTTATACGCGCAAATATCGAAAGGAACCGAGATCTTTGGGTTATAAACATGTATTTCAACTTTCATCAACATCCGATCAAATTGCGACCTCTAGAGGGTCCACAACATTGATATACCACATTCAAACGTTGTTTTAAATCGGATCAAAATTATGACCTCTATAGGGTCTACAAGCTAAAATCGGGATTTTTCGTACAATCAGGGGTCTTAATTCAGGAGGTTTTGGTCCAATATGTGCGAATATCGAAAGGAAAGGGAATCTTTGGGTTATAAACTTACATTTCAAGTTTCAACAAAATCGGATAAAAATTGTGACCTCTATAGGATCCACAGGCTAAAAACGCGATTTTTCGTACAATCAAGGAGCCATAATCCATGAAGTTCCGGTCCGATACATGCCAATATCGAAAGGAACCGAGATCTTAGGGAGACAAACCTATATTTCAAGTTTCGTTGAAATCGGATAAAAATTGTGACCTGTCCACAAACAATTGTGGACGTCAGGACATACCTCCACGTGAAAATGTGGGCGTACAAAAAATTGTTTTCGAAAATCGGAATCATAATTTGAAGGTTTTTTGTAAAATTCAAAATGGTGTTTAAACGGTTGAAAATGTTATGGGACAAGGTTTCATCAAATGAAAGATAATATCTGGGTTAACATCACAATATCTCATTTTCAGTCCACTTTTAAAATGGAGTGAACTATTCATATTCGGGGAAAATCGGAAGTCCTCGGTAATTTCGGAACGTTTCCGGAAACCGTCACAAAAAGTTTTCATATTCTATTTTGAAGGCATCAATGTGTTCCTTATTCCTACCAAGTTTCAACTTGGTACCTTCAATAGTGACGGAAATACGCCATCTTGAATCCAAAAAAATGCCGAAGAAAACCCTCGCAAATCTTTGAATCTAAAAGTAATCGAGCAAATTTCCGAATTTCGAACAGGTTTCAGTGAGAGGCCCTGTGGGATTCGTCCAAAGATTCCAAAAATGAAAAAACGACCAAGATCCATTGACAAATAACCGAGATATGGCTATTTATTTGTCCTATCCGTAAAACTATTCCGGTTTGTCAAAATTGGCCTATAATTTATGTTTAATAAACAGTTCCACGGAGGCCAACAATATCTACGTTGGCAGAATGTTTGCGCCATGTACAGTTTTGGCTGCAAACTGACTAAAATTCGGAGGGTTTGGTGGCCGAATGGTTAGCACGTGCGCGCTGTATCATAAGGTCTGTCATTGGGTCAGTTGGAGTGGTTTCGATTTCACGGTTGTATATGACAAGGAGTAACGTCCTCCGGTTTTCTCTCACTGCTAAAGACCCCTACGCGCAAGCGAATTATTGAAATAATATTGAACCGTGTGTTAGGCCCGGAATGACCTAGTTTGTGTCAAGTGGAGGTTAAACCCTCTCTCTCTCTCTCTCCCCCCACCCACCCCCCAGAAAACAGTACGTGTTTCGGACCTTCGGTCTTTGTGTGACGTTTTAACGTGACTGGAGCTGTAACTCATGGGTGTTCAGAAAGTCGGTTGTCACTGATTCGCACGTGAAGACAATAGCTCGTCATAAGGCAGTGCACGCGTCTTCGAGGTGTCCTATTTAATGACCTCTATGGACTACCCTCGTGATACACGTAATTATCAAAAAAAAAATAAACAATGTAGATTACAATAATTATTGACTTTATTTTTTTTGAAAAAAGAGAGAGAAATTCTCCGAAAGACGGTTGTCTCTGAGTCACATGTGAAGACAATACAATAGCTCGTCATATGGCAAGCAGGGGATCGTTATCAATAAAACATCGACAGTTTAGTGGGGAGTACTACAGGGACAAACACAGACAGCGACAACTGTTGATAACTTTAATTGACGTGCCACCATTACAATAACATAATAGATAACCCGGATGTCTCGTATCACGAGAACTAACAATGAACGAAGGGACCTGTAACCTACAGGGACTTGTAACATATATAATTAACTATAATGGCGCGACCCTTTTTTTCCTTTTCTTGTAGAACAATTTATGGAATTAAAAATAACTTTTAGACATGAAAACACTTAAAAGTCTTAATAAAGAACATAGTCTATTAGTTTTTTAGGCAACTGGCGTGTACGATTTCGTGGTAATCCTGGTATGTTAGAAGAAACACTTGTTGCTGTATTTGACAGGGTCTGGATGTTCAGGGTATCATCGATAAGATCAGATTCTGACGAACTGCTTGATGCTTCTGCCTCGCCACGGTCGGGTAGTTGAGCTGATGCAGTCGGGTCGAGTGGTGTGGTCAATACAGAAGGAATGATGACCGTATCATCTTCGCTATCATCTGAAGCAACGGAGCAAGCTGTGGGGGAAATATTTACCTTGTAAACCTCTGTAGGATGGACGGAGTATGTCTTCGAGCGGATTTGAGAGTTCCTCAGCTTATGAAGTTGTAGAAAGCCGTTCTGAACACCCGAGACAATATATTTGTCACGTGCCCTGTTTTTATCACGATCACAAAATAAATAAACTAAATCCCCAATACGGACGTTCTGTGGAGGACCAGACTTGCCAAGAGGGTTTTTTGACCGTTCACTGTAAGGATGATTTTGGTGACGTCGCACTTGTTGAGCATGTATGAGATTACTGTCATCGATGAGTAACTGCTCATTGGTGATTTGATCCCGCTTGCACCACATTTCCCTAGCCGACAAACCACTGGCCCGAAGACGAGAATTAACGCGCGCAATGACACAGCTTAATAAAACTGGGGTGATGGGGGA